ACACGGCAAAAGTTCAAGCAATATACACATTACAAAAACAACAACTTACACACAAGTGTGCATAGCCAAATTATGCCCAAAGCTGTAAAACATTATGCATAACTTACTAAGTTTTCTATAGCAATAATATAATTATTTCTCCTAATTTTTTCACGTCGGTCTCAAGTATATTGCGTGAGTACAATTCTTAATATTTGGAAGGCAACATAGTTACTGGAAATGGAGTCGATGCGATCAAAAGTAACTACAATCAGATCACGAATTAAAAAAAATGGTTGCGATTTTCATTTTCGAACCATATAAGATGATATGTCCAATATTTTATCTATGGATTTAAGTTTCCTAACATCGTGATTCATTTACAACAGTAATTTAAGAAAGTATTTTGACAAAAGTTTAATCCAAAAGTTTTAAAATTGTTTTGAAAAGGGGGGTACCTACAACCACCAGTGGGAGATATTTCACCTTTTCTGGTATGTTGGTGTTTTCAAGGGGTTTTAAAGGTACACTTGTGAGATGCATAAGCTCCACTTGTTCATTTAAGCATGGCGTGTAGTACATTGAATTTTATAGAGATTTAGTACATATAAAAGGGGGTACCTACAACCATACCCTTATTTACCCAGGGCCATCATCTGTGGTAGAATCCTTCTTTCAACAATTGTGAAATGTGTATTCCATAGTAGTTATATAATCATCGGAAGAGATATGGGACATCTTGAAAAAGTCACTTGGAGGTGCTGAGAAGGTGGAACAAGTGAGGTTACAAACTCACAAAAGAATGTATGAATTACTTCAGATGGAAGAAAATGAAAGTGTAGCTGACTTTTCACTAGGGTGATTCGATTGGTGAATCAGATCAAGATGTATGGAAAAGTGATGTCTTCAAGTTCGATAATTGCAAATATTTTGAGATGCTTGCTTCTAAAATTTGATCATGTTGTGGTAGCCATAGAAGAATCAAAGAACCTATAAAGCCTAATAAAGGAAGAGCTACAAGGGACACTCGAATCTCATGAGTAAAGAATGATTGAAAGATCTGCAAGTAAGACTAATAGTGATGTGGTATTGCAGGAAAAATCAACAATGGATAGAAAGAGAAAAGGAAAGTGGAATGGAAACAAAGGTAGACGAGGAAGCAACAACTCAAATGGTAGAAGTTCCTAATAGTAAAGAAGCTTATCCAATCAAAGGCAACCTACAAACTAAAGCAGTCACATAGGTCGTGCTAAAAGAAGAGAACAAGGAGGTGAAAAAGCTTGATAAAACTCATGTTTAGTTTTACAACTTTCAACTGTATAGTCACTATGCAAATGAGTGTCCTGCAAGAAATAAGAACATCCAAAAAAGTGATGCAAAGCTTACAAAACAATATGACAAACATGTGCTACTAATGGTGACAACCAAGGAGGAAGAAGTGCATAAAGATTAATGGTACTTAGACTTAGGATGTTTATCACATATGATAGGAGCAAAGATAAGTTTTTAAATATCAGCCCTTCCATGAAAAACAAAGTGAAGTTTTGGAATAACAACACTTTAGCAACTGAAGGCATTGGTGATGTTCAGATCATGAGAAGAGATTGCAAGAAATCAATGATTTCAAATTTGTTTTACATTCTAGGCATGAAAAGAAATTTGCTCAACATAAGCCAATTAATTGAGAATAACTACAAAGTGGTGATAGGAGACAAGATGATGAGAGTACATGACTCAAGTGGTAGATTGATCTTGAAGGCACCTATGTCTCAGATTAGAACCTTCACAATTGAGCTTGGTGTGATGGAACACAAATGTATAGCAACTACAACCAACAGAGATACATGGTTATGGAATTATAGTCTTAGTTATCTCAACTTCAGAGATATTCGCCACCTGAAGAAGAGAAACATGGTTTCAGGTCTATCATAAATCCATATTCCAAATGAAATATGTGAGGATTGTGTTCAGGCCAGGCAACATAAGAATAGCTTTAATAAAGATGCAGGAAGCAACTCTAAATCCACACTTGAAGTCATATACTCAAATGTGTGTGGGCCTATTCTAGTGGATTCAATTGGATGTAACAAGTATTTTGTTACATTCATAGATGACTACATTATAAATTTATAGACACACTTAATCAAGAAAAATAGTGACATGTTTGAGGTGCTCACTAAATTAAAATCCATGATAGAAGGAAAAGTGATCACAAGATCAAGACCTTGAGGGCTGGTGGTGGTGGAGAATATGTGCCAAATGATTTTTATGCACTATATGAAAGAGAATGGATAGTGCATGATGTGGTCCCACCATACACTCCTCAACAAAATGGAACTGCAAAAAGGAAGAACAGGACCATCATGAACATGGCGAGGAGTATGTTAAAGGGAAAACATCTATAAAATGAATTATGGGGTGAGGTTGTGTCCACTACAACATACATCTTGAAGGATATGCCTTATATGCAGACACTAAGCCTATCAATATAACTAAAGTATTGAGCGATTCAAAGTGGGTGAATGTTATGCTAGAGGAGCATAAATCCATAGAGGTCAAAAAAACTTGGTCACTATTTGAATTTCCACAAGGAAAGAAAGAAATTGATGTGAATTAGGTGTACAAGTTGAAGCTAAATCCCAAAGGGGAAGTGAGCAGGAAAAAAGAAAGACTTGTGGCCAAAGGATTTCTTCAAAGAGAATGAATTGACTTTAATGAGGTATTTGCACCAATTAGCTAGATTGAAACAAACAGGTTGGTTATTAGTTTAGCAAATATAAACTAGTCAATGTGTCAAATGAATGTGAAATATGAATTTATAAATGGCCCTCTAGATGAAGATGTTTATGTATAAAAACCAGTTGGTTTTGAGAAGGAATGTTAAGAAAGTAAGGTGTACAAACTCCATTAAACATTGTATGGGCTCCTCCAAGTGCTTAGAATAAGAAGATAGATGGTTTTCTAAGAGAAAAGGAGTTTGTGAAGTGCACAACTAAGCATGTTGTGTATGTCAGAAGAAGCAAAGTTGGGTTACTAATACTTTGTCTATATGTAGATGATCTTTTAATAACACGCAATTGTAAGAAGGTGACTGAGATTTGAAAGTTAACTTGAGCAAGGAACTTATGATGTCTGTTTTAGAAACATCTCATACTTCATTAGAGTTGAGTTCTATAAGTGTGGTAGAGGACTGATGATGTGCTAAAGAATATATACTAGTGAGATACTCAAGAGATTTAAGATGGAAAATTGCAATTATGATTTAATATCAGTTGAACCAAGACATCAATTGACAAATGATTCAAGTGAAGATGATGTTGATTCAACATAGTATATAATACCTATTGGATCATTGAGATACCTTTGTCACACAAGGTCCGATCTAACATACAGTGTAGGCATGGTGAGTAGATTCATACAAAAGCCAAAGTTGTCATATCTTGCATCCACCAAGTGGATACTAAGGTATCTCAAAGGAACACTATACTATGATATATTGTTTACTGCAGTAGATGAAGGAAATGAATGCAAACTTGTGGGACTTACTGACTCAAATTGTCGTGGTAATGCTAAGGATAGAAAATCTACCCCTGGTTATGTGTTCATAGTATGTGGTGCACTAGTTGTTTGGAGCTAAAAAAGGAATCGGTTGTAGCATTATCATGATATGAAACTGAATACATAGTGGCTTCTCTCTATGCCTGTCAAGCAACGTGGATGGTGAATCTAATTGATGAGATTGAAGGCAATAATCATGAAGCAATGACAATGAGGATTGATAACATGTCTCCTATAAATTTGGCCAAGAACCTGATAACACATGGAAGGAGCAAACACATTGAAATGAGATTCCACTATCTTAGAGAACAAATAACAAATGAAAAATTATACTTGAAACATTGTAGAACTGAGAATCAAATAACTGGCATCATGACCAAAGTTGTGCAAGTTGAATTGTTCAAAAGGTTGAGAAGTATGATGAATGTAGAGAGTCTAGACATAATGAATTAGATGGTGTATTGAAAGTGTAATTCATATTGTCCATTCATGTTACTTAGGAAACAAGCAAATACTTAATTAGAGGTTTAAAGTTCTGTTATACAACAAAATTCTGTTTTAGAAGTTGGTTAGGAAAATTGAGATTGATTGGCTTGTTAGTAATCCCAATATAAGAGACTCTTGACATTGTAAAAGGAAGAAATTAATAATATGATCTCTTCTTCTTCCTCATGCTCTCATATTCTAATCTTTATCCTTTTTTTTTTCAATTCTAAAGTGTGAGGAACAAACTTGAACAATTGGAATTGTGTGTGTGCATCACTTGAGTGAAGAGTGTTATTGAAGATTGCTACATCAATCGAGGAAAGATTGATCTTGTTCGAGCAAGATTTTGTTTCGACAACAATGATCATCTTAAAGTCCATTTTAAAAGATTAAATTAAAAGTAATTATAATTTTAAAATGATATTAGGGTTTTGTTTAAAATCGGTTGATAGCTATCATAATTCTCTTATTTATTTTTTCATAATAAATAAAATTAAAGCAGATTTATTATTATTTTTATTACATGAAAGCAAACAAAAATAGCCAATAGATATTGACCCAACTGGCACGCCATGGCTGTTGTTGGCCTAAAATTATCCATTCCAAAAAAATCCAGTGTACATACTATATTATCTACTCTAAAATTATTGCCTCGTGTACTGATATATATATATATATATATATATATATATATATATATATATATATATATATATATATATATATATATATATATATATATATATATATATATATATATATATATATAACATTCAAGAATCTCTACAAATTCTTTAAGTTTGTTTGCAAAACTATTTTACTTTTCATTTTTTAAGTTTTGATGTCTAATCGTGGAAGTTGCGACAAGAAACAAAACAAAAACCGGTTCAACTTTGATTCTTCTAATACGTTACGTTATTACAATAAATAATCGTGGCTCTTTGGCTTTATGCGATTAATCATTTGATAAGGTGAAGATGCAACTCTATATCAATCTTGTCTTAGAGGTCATCATTACTAAAAATAAAAATAAGATATTTGATTAAATAATTTTATATCGGGTCTGAATATACAATGATGTGAAAAAAATATGGTGGCAGTTTGATAATTAAAATGAAATTATTATAAGATTTTTTACATCGGTTCAGGCTTTTCACCGATGTAAAATGCATTTGACGAAAATTCGGTGGCAGTTTAATAATTAAAAAGAAATTTTGTTATAAGGGTTTTTACTTCGGTCCAGGCTTTCTATCGATGTAAGATTTGGAAGATATGGGCCTTTACATCGGGCCAGGCTATCCACTGATATAAAAAAGTCAATAAAAAAAACCTTGTCCATATCACTTATCTTCGTTTCCGCCTCTAAGACATAAACGCACCATTTCCTTTCTTCATCTCTCTCCGCCTCAAAGACCGAATCCACCATTTCCTTTCTTCCTTTCTCTGCCTCCAAGATCGAATTTGCTCGCCTACATCGCATCGCGCCGCCAACACCTCTGAAGCCTATCCTCAACGTCGTCGTCACCGACGGTGTTCGTCGACAAGAGCACACGCGTGATCTGTCAAGGAATTACCATAAAGAATGGGACGTTTCACACGGAGCAAGCAATCGAGTACGAAACGAATATAGTTGTGGTGTTACTCCGAAGAAAGGCGAAACCGAACATTTAGAACTTCTGGTTTTCAATTCTGGTTTTCTACAGGGTGTAAATAATAAGAAGCTACGGGGTTTCATAAAGTCTTTGAAAGCACTGCAACCTAGTTCCAATGCTAGAAGCAATTATACTGGTAATAAATTCTGACTTAAATTTCTTAAGCTTGTTAACATAGATCTTGGGTTTGTTAACACAGGTTGGTGTATGTTCCTTCACTTGTATGATATTTATCAACACTACTAAAAAAAAGACATTTGAGAAAAGGTTTTTACATCAGGTATCAAAATATATGATGTAAAAAATACAATTAACAAACTTTTTACATCAGGTATTTATTTGTAATGATATAAAAAATATGAAAAAAAAAATATTTTGCTACCTATTACATCGGGAAAACGCATCCACCAATGTAAAAAGTTTTCAGAAAAAAATACGGTGGCATTTTTGTAAGTAAGAAACAAGGTAGTAGAAATATTAATAAAAACATGCAACATATTACATCGGTTGACTAAAAATCTATGTAATATCTTCACAACAGATATTAATATAAAAAATAAATTAAAGAATAAATTAATTTTTTTGCAACTTATTACATCGGGTATTACAATGCACCGATGTAATAGGTGCATTGTAAAAAAAATGTCAGAAAAAAAGCTTGCCAACCCTTACATCGGGTATTACAATGCACCGATGTAATAGGTGCATTGTAAAAAAAAAAAGCTTGCCAACCCTTACATCGGGTATTACAATGCACCGATGTAATAGCCATCCAACCCTAACAGGGAAAATAAACTTTCAGGAACCGGTTACTACCTAACAGGGAACCGGGTTCCAAACTTGTTCAAAAATCACTTCCCTGGAATTTGTACCAGGAACCGGGTTGTACCTATAGGGGAACCGGTTCCTGTGTGTTATTTTTGAATTCTGGGTTGTAAAAAAAAAAAGCTTGCCAACCCTTACATCGGGTATTACAATGCACCGATGTAATAGCCATCCAACCCTTACATCGGGTATTACAATGCACCAATGTAATAGGTGCCAAACCCTTATTTCCCAAACATTTCCCAAACAGTAGAAAAATTACAACTCCATTTTCCCCTGTTCGTGTTTCCGATTCTGGTCGCTTCCGATTCCGATTCCGTCTTCCTCAACCCCGCCCGATTCCGATTGCCACCGCGACTGCCTTATGCCCGCCCGATTCCGATTCGGTAATATTCTTTGACCGCCGTTTCGGCCGCCGTTTCTGGTCTTCCTCTTCGACCGCCGTTTCCGGTCGTCCTCTTCGACCGCGGTGGTTTCCGTTAGTGTTTCCGCCGTTTCTGGTCGTCGTCTTCGACCGCGGTGGTTCTGTTCGTTCGTGTTTCATCGTTTTCGACCGCCATTGATGATGATTTTTGTTGTGAATTTGCAGATTTGTTTGATGAACATAGATGATTTTGCAGATTTTTGCGGTGGTTCTATTTAGTTAGTTATAACCAACAATATTTTTCACTTTGGACTTGGTATTATTTTTGTGATAGAATTATTCTATTTCAATATAGATACAAGTCTTTGGATCTATCTGAAGATATCGTAGAAGATGATGAAGAGGAGTTCATTAAAGGCTTCTCTCAGAGTCTCACACTTAGTATACAGGTTTGGTCTGCTATTTTTCTTGGTCTCATTAGTTGTAGGTATTGCACTATTCTCTATCTGGCCAGCCTTCTTCAGCTTCTTTAGTGTTTTTCAAACATGTATTCAAACATGTATGTTCAAATCTAAAACTCTTAAAATATAGCATTTTGTTACAATACGGACTTAGAAGTGACTGGGTTAAAGCATAAGAAAGTGACTGGGCTAAAGCATAAAGAATATAGGAAATTTAAAAGTGACTGGACTTAGTATTGAAGGTTGGCTTACATATGATGTGTTAGTAATGCATTACGTTTGACCTTTATTACATGAAATAATATTTGACATTTGCTTGCAGATTGAGTTGGAAAAATATAGAGATAATGATTCGGCTGTCTTTGAAGCAATGAGTTAAGAAATACTTCTCTTTTGCAATGTAATTGGTGTTGAATAAGTTTTATAGATTCGGGATGTAGGTTGCTGATATGTTCCATCTTTTGTTCAGATATAGGATTGAACAAGAACCTGGCATTGAAATAAATCAAATTCCGCCACACTTGATTAATTATGGTGAGAGATACAGGAGATGAGAAATGTTATATACAAAGGGTTAACTTATGAACTTTTGTACTTTTTGTGCCTTATATGAGTAGGTGCATGATTTGCATTTCAACTCTCATGATTGAAATAATCATTATGTAATTTAATTTTCATTTTTTACTTGGTCTTATTTATTTCGGGTTTATGCAATTGGGATGGCAGGTCACAGAAGTGAGCCCAAAGGTGAGACTGGTGGTTAGAATGAAGGAAGTAATTGCGATATAGCAGAAGCAATTGCGATACGGAAATTTGATTAATGATAAAGTCTCAAATGAAAGCCAAGATGTTGCAGAAGGTGAACATACTACTCTTATTGTGTATCCTTTTTGTTAAGTTTTTTCATTTTCATTAGTAGCAATTCTAATATAATATTAATTTCAACTTGAGTCACATTGTGAAATCAATTACATGTTTTTAGAAACAATAATATGGAGGACATAGTGTGATGGACCTAGTAGTGAGTTGTGATAAAGGTGATGGATTTATATCCGGAAAATCTGTACTGGTTCGCTGGGAACCGGTTCCGACCCAGGAAGAACCCGGTTCCTAGTGAAAGTTATAACCCAGAATTCAAAAATAACACGGAGGAACCGGTTCCCCTATAGGTACAACCCGGTTCCTGGTACAAATTCCAGGGAAGTGATTTTTGAACAAGTTTGGAACCCGGTTCCCTGTTAGGTAGGAACCGATTCCTGAAAGTTTATTTTCAAAAATGTGCATAATAACTGTTTCTTACATCGGTTCATATATTATAACCGATGTAAAAAAGGGACTTTTTACATCGGGTATTACTTCCAACCGATGTAAAAAACTGGATCAATTTTTTTAAAAATATGCATAATAACAGGTTATTACATCGGTTCTGATATTATAACCGATGTAAAAAAGGGACTTTTTACATCGGTCCCAGAACCGATGTAAAAAGTCCCTGATTTACTATATCGTCTGACTTTACATCGGACCCAGAACCGATGTAAAAAGTCAATTTCACCCGATGTAAAAAGTCATTTCTGCACTAGTGCAAAATGATATTTATTTTTTTGTGCATATGCTAAATTCTATTAGTTTCTTTTTAAATGCTAGTGTTAGGATACTACTTTAGACAAGAGCCTAACCAATCACACATCAAGAAAGAACAAATTGGCCATGGGAAAATTGGTTGGAGTTAAATGTGGAAGGCCATTGATAGTAGTTATAATACTATTAATATTTAAATTGTAGTAGTTTGTTGTAACTTAGATTTATGTTGATGTTTAATTTATGTTGTAGTAATTTTGATTAATGTTGGATTTCTTTTGAGGTCGTTGATAGAACATTGAATGATAGGCCATTGACTTAATGTTGAAAAATATGTAAAATTAAGTACCAAAAAAAATTATTGGAATTCCACATCGATTCCGCCAAAATATAGTCTAATTTTTTAAGAAAGATAGCATACATATTACATCGGACACATCTTGCAACCGATGTAAAAACTTATCTTTTACATTGGACCAGAACGGAAACCGATATAAAATGTTATATTTATTTAAAGAAAAATAAAATTAATCTCATATTTCACATCAGACTTAACAAACAATCAATGTGATAGATGTGTTTTTCACATCGAATTATTATCCGATATAAAATATGTCTAATTTATTAGATCGCTTGTTTTTACATCAAATATAAATCAAATATAAAATATACTTTCCACCTGGCATAAAATGTTTTTTTTTTTTGGGTAGATATTCAACTTTCACATACTAGTATGTAATACGACAAAAGCTTCCTCCTCAACTATGCAAGATATTGTGATTAACTTTCTTTAGAAATACTAAGAAAGCTATGTTAACTTTGTTTTATGCGTATTACATTTATGAAGTTTGGAATTTGGAAGTGAACAAATATCGATCCTGTATAGTTTACGCATTGAAATAGTCGTATATGCAATAATGTTTTAGTCAGTGTTTACTACATTCACTAACCTTGTGAAAATTCAAAAAAATGTCATTTAATAGTGTTTGAAGATAGTCATGCATATTTTATAAAATTAATGGTTAGTATAATTTTAAAAATAAATTAAAAAATATTGAAATAATATATCATCAATTTATATGTTATATCATTTTCAAACTCTAATCTTGTCTTGAGAGTTGAATACTGCTTCTTCATGTAAGAAATTTATAAAATAAATAAAAACATAAATATATTTTTTGAAACATATTATTACTATTATATTATATAATTACATTGAATTTAGCTTAGAGCAAGCATTTTTGGTGGAATTTAAATAAAACTATGTGATATATATTTTCCTAGCTATTTTTAATTAATTAATTATTAAAGAATAACTGTGAGTGATAATAATATAATTAGTGGAATTTAGAGATAATATGTGTTCTATTTTTTAGACATTTTTAATTAATTAATTATTAAAAAATAACTAATAGTGATAATAATAAAGTTAGTAGAATAATTAACTTTTATCAATAAATAAATATACTAAATAATCAATAATAATAAATGAAACTAATAAATATACTGAAAGGAAGAGGAACGTTAATAGCTACATAATTTTATGTTTCATATTCAACATGGAAAAGTTTGTCAAATAAATAAATATTTTGTTTCATGTTTATCTAAAAATTCCTCCAAATAATAACAAATTTTAGTAAGTTATTGAGTATTCTCTTATTCCCTGTCTCATGGAATCACCAAAAGACCATCATCATGATTATCATCATTTTCACATCCATGGTACCATTTACGTATATATTATTATTGAAAGTCCTTACAAATGTATTGTGAAAGTTTTTGAGACCCTTTTGTTGAAAACAATTTATTGAAAAAGCATTTTTAAAAATCTTGAAAAACAAAGTTTCAAAGAGGAAATCGATTATTCAGATTGAGAAAATTGATTTCTACAGTTTGTTTTAGTTTTGGATTTCTGTTTTTAGTTGGAGAAATCGATTTCCGCCTCGTGTTTTTGTTTTTTGAGTTGTTTTCTGGGTCTGTTTGGTTCCAAATTGTATTTGTTTGTATCTTATAAATACTCCCTCATGTAATGTTTGAAAAACTAATGTCACAATAACATTCTCTCTCTCTCTCTCTCTCTCTCTCTCTCTCTCTCTCTCTCTCTCTCTCTCTCTCTCTCTCTCTCTCTCTCTCTCTCTCTCTCTCAATATCTCCAAATTCACTTCATCTTCTCCAATTAACCATATTTCACCATTGATTCACCACACAAACTTTGTGCTTGTTCTAACATTTGGCATCAAGAGCCTTGGTTCTGATCCATTAATCCGCTACAAAGATGACAATTGTTTCCGATGATCGAGTCTCTACCAATCTTCCAATCCTTGATTCAAAGAACTATGATAAATATTGCAAACAAATGAATATTTTATTTGGATATCAAGAAGTTCTTGAAGTGGTTAACAATGGTGTTACACCACATGGGGCAGAAGCGACAGATTCTCAGAAGTTGAATTCAAGGAAGAGAAGAAGAAAAATTGCAAGGAATTTTCTTGGTTCATTCTTGTGTCGACAATGACAACTTCGAAAAGGTTGGCGATTGTAATTCAGCAAAGCAAGCATGAGAGATCTTGAAGAAAGCTTATGAAGGGGCTGATAAAGCAAAGGTGGTGAAGTTACAAACTCACAAGCGGAGTTCAAATTGGTGCAAATGGATGAGAATGAGTCGATCAATGATTACATAATGCGTATTACGCGTTTGGTGAATCAAAAGAAATCTTGCAGTGAAACTGTTTCATCACAGAATGTTGTATTAAAGATATTATGTTCTTTAACATCAAGGTTCTACAACATTGTGGTTGCAATTGAAGAATCGAAGGACCTTCCTACATTGATGAAGGAGGAGCTTCAAAGCTCACTTGAGGATCATAAACAAAGGATATATGAAAGGGAAAATGAAAAAGCTAAAGCGGAGATTATGTTGTAAGCACGATTCAATGAGAAGAGTAAAAGATCGAAAGGAAAATGGTCTTCAAAGGGGAAGACAAATTTCCATAAATTTTGGTGGAAAAGATCCACAAAATTTGTAAGCTTCAATAGGGAAAAGAGGTGAGAGCAGCTCTAAAGGTAGTGGTCAAAGAAACTACAACAAGAAGTTTAACAAGAGTAATATGAAGTATTACAATTGTCATGGACTTGGCCATTTTGCAAAGGAATGTAATGCGAAATCAAAGGAGAATCAAAGCGATGAAGCTAAGGTTGCTCGACATGAGGTGGATGATGATAACATGCTTTTGGTCATGACCACAGAGGAGAATTATGATAGTAATAAGTTGCTGCTCAAAAAATGCTGCAGAAACGCGTTCAGAGCAAAATGTAATGGTAACTGTTTGAGATGGAGTCCAAGGAAGTGATGGGTGGTACTTGGATTCTAGTTGTTTGGCACATATGACGGGTAGAAAGGATTGGTTTGTCAAAATCATTCAAGCCACGAAAAATAAAGTGAAATTTACGGATGACACCACTTTAGCGGCAGACGAAGTCAGTGATGTTTTGATCATGAGAAGGAATGAGGGTCATTCCTTGATCAAAGATGTGCTATACATTCCTATAATTAAATGTAATCTCTTGAGTATTGACCAATTACTTGAGAAGAATTACATGATTCACATGGAAAACAAGAATTTAAACGTTTTAGACCGAAACAGGGTTTTAGTCCTTAAAGCATCCATGGCTGCCAATCAGACTTTCAAGATAGAGCTAAATGTGATGGAACATAGGTGCCTTTCTACAGAGGCAGATCATGATGGTTATGGAACATAGGTGTCTTTCTACAGAGGCAGGTCATGATGAGTGTTTGTGATACTACCGTCTTGGACATCTCAATCTTCGAGACCTCGACGCGTTACAAAGGAACATGGTTTTAGTCCTTAAAGCACCCATGGCTACCAATCAGACTTTCAAGATAGAGCTAAAAGTTATGGAAC